ATGCATATACATGGGAGAGGAACAGAGGAGGTATTCACTGGAGAATGCCAGAAGGCATGGACTCCTTTTGGTAGGCAAGGCTGTTGGCTTTAATTGTATATATTGTCTTGGATTCTCACCTTCAGAAAAAATGCCAGTTTGATCTCACGCAGTATTCACTACACATATTTACATCCTATTGCCTGGGGCCCAGGGAAGGCAAACAACAGGCATTTTACTTTCAGTCAATTTCTATCTGAAAATCTATATGGCTTATAAAGACTTCTTAAATAACAGATCTGCACTTATCCTTGAAAATTTTTAAAAAGCAAAAATCAGGTGATCTAACCTATAGCAATTGCCTCTGACAAAGTCTCAAAAAGAAAACTGATTTCTACTCTAGGTAAAGTTCTTCCTGAAACACAAAAGTATTAAAGAATTATGAATTTGGTATATAGCTGTGAAATCCCATGCATGATCCCCACTTCCCTGTGAAGTAAGCCACTAAATTAATTAGGCTTTGCTGCACAGCAATTTTATCTGAAATACATAGCTCTTTCTTCCAGTCCCCTGAAAATACGCAAGCCTGAAAGAGAAGCATAGATAGGAACCAACCCACTTCAAGGGAAACCCAACCAGCACGGGGCAGATCCTTAGTGGAGTAAAGATTCTGCACTGAAGTAGATGGGACAGGAATAGTTTACCCCAGCCAGGAATCTGCTCTGCATCTGCAGATCAATTTATGAAAAAAAGGTGATACACCATACATGGACCAGATGCACTAATGTAGCATAAGGCAAAAAACAAGCTCTGCTGGGGTTGTTCCAACATTCCTACACAAGATTTCACAGCATACGAAAATTACTTCATGTGAATGAAAATCTTTTTTAACAGTAACCTCTCTGCATGGTTCGAAAGTGCTACTGTGGACAAGGTTTTCAAAGGCCACCCAACAAGCAATGCTCAACCATATCTTCCTCACAGGGTGGCATATGAATAGCACATTTCAGTTTTAACAGACTGAAAAATCATTACCACAGCAATAAGGCTGAGACCTCAGAGCAATTTTCTTAATAAACACATTCCCTGACAATTATTGTTTTTGTTCAAAAGATATATTTTGCTTTTGAGATAAGATTTTTCATGCTATCACAGCAATTAACAAAGGACAATCTGGAATTTTTTCTTTTAGGAATGTCAATACCTTCTTATATTTTGTAATAAACAATAATTTGTTAAAATAAACTTTTTATTAAATTCAAAGAACTTGTTCTCTTAAAGTACCTGAAAAGAGAAGGAGTTGATGAACTTCTGGGAAATGTGAAAAGTCCTCAGCAAGTAATGTGGTGAATGTGATAAGCCTCTATCTAATTACTGAAATGCTGTTTGCAAAACATTTGTTCAGAGGTGTTCAATTTCTCCAAAAGTGACCTGAAACAAATGAGAGAAAAAAGTTTCACCAGAAGCGACGGCCACAGTTAAAGACACATATAACAAAGCTGATGAAATCAGAAGAAAACTTGATTTCTTTATACACCTTCTAAGAAAAGAGCTAAGAAAGTAAAGGTCAGGCTGCAACGCTATTTTGAATTACCAAACACTGCCACCAGGTGTTCACTTCAAAGACTATCAGGCTGCTTGAAAACAGCTAGAGGGTAAGTATTAAAAGCCAAAGCAAATTAAATTTGTAGCTCTATCTCTTATGTAAAATGTTTCTGTATAAGGCAATAGTGATGACAACTCCCAAAAAGTTTTTAGGTATTTTTAGCCACTTGTGTTACATTGGTATAGGAACACATGGTTCTGTTTCTAACTCCTCCCATCATCATTCTGGCGAGCACTAACTAGAGAATGACAGAGAGAAAATACTGGACAAGCTTTGTTTCCACACACAGATGCCTACCACGATTGATGTTTCATTGTGTTTACGCAGTGCCCACCTCAGTAAACTTTTAGTTCATCTTAACGGTCCCTAGAAGGTACCAAACCCATAAACGTTCACACAACTACAGCGTAATTATGTCAGAGATCAGCTTTTCTTCTAACATTTATGCATATGAACAAAAAAATTCATATAATGATGGAGGCAACGGACTCAGGGGACTTCCTACAACATTAATTTTCACTAGTTCTAATGTAAGCAGCAAAGGATCTCTAGTCTTACTTGAAAACTGTATCCATTCCAATTTGAATTAAGAGCATTCAATTTCTTCTTATTTAATACAGTCTCTCACCTGAAAACTCCCCTTGAAGTGGTAGGCAGGCAGAGGAACTGCACCTCACTACTGAAAAGCTAAAATGATTAGAGATGCTCCTCTTATTTAGATGGGATAGTCAAGAAGACGCAAAGGAATTCCAGTGATTTAGCCAAAAAGATAGATACCTGATTTTCTTCCATGTTTTCAAAACTTCTGTCATAAATTCTTTGAGTTGGGATGCCTAACATTAGCCTGTAAGATCAGGAAATATTAGAAAAAAAATCTCAGCTCTTTTTAATTAACATACACACAGACGTGCGTGCGCGCACATATATAAATTGATTAATCAAACTCAGAAGATCTGACAGAAGAACAACCACTTCCTCATCAGCATTATCCAGGTAAACAAAATATTTCAACTGCCTTCCTCAGAGGATGCTGCAGGTTCCACTTCAATGTCTCTGTAGATTCACCAAGTGAATACTAGCTCCAGGAAAATGCAGACCTCAGGGAGCAAGGCCAACAATTAAAACAGACACGAGTAATACTTGGATGAAATGCCACATTTGCAAGAAAATAGTCTTGGGTACAATTCTAGATATTTGAAATTTCAAGAATGAAATAATTTTGAAAAAAGACTGGACAACTACTTGAATGCCTAATGGATGGTTATGTGGTTTTGGACAGCTCAGCTCCAGAATTAATTCCCTTCAGGACAACAAAAATGAGAGCACTTGCATTTAAACGTGATGTGTTTTGTCAGCATTACTCATGCACGTACCCACTGGATATCTTTGGTTATTCCAAGCTTCTTTTGCTCTCAGGAATACTGAATGTGCACAGTCAAGATTCTTTCTAATATCTTACAACTCAAAGTGACGCCAAACAGATGGCAAAGATGAATAACTCAGGCAGAGAAGTCATTTCAAGTAACCGATAAAGGACAAACCCCATGATCTTTACCATGTCTCTTGCCATTTGTTTTTCAATGTGCATTGTAGAATATACATTTATTCTGCAGCTCTATTCTGCAAGTCTTTTAACAGCAGGAAGAAACCATAAGCCCCGCATGCAGCCCTACTGGCAAATGACAGCGTTAAGTCAGAATAAATTGGATTGTCCCAGTCTGTTCTAGATTTGTTTAACAATAGATGGTAGCAGCATTCCCATCAGAGAGCTTCAGAGGTAGGAAAACAAGCTGGAAAGGCATCTTTCATATAATTTCCAGAAGTCCATCATGTTTCTTACTGCAGACTTAAAGCAGCAAATCACATCTATGGCACTAATTAGTAAAGGAGAAACTGTCAATGTGCTCCATCTTAAGTAAAAGCATATGAAGAGAATAGCATGCAAGGTCATTTTAGCAAAGTTTCAATATAGAAACAAAAGGAAAACTTATGTTGTTGAAAATATTCATCTATGGTCCATAAGGTGCTTTTCAGTACATGAACATACTTTAAAAGGAGAAAGCGTGTCAGCTGTTTATGTACTTTTAAATCATGACTCTGTGTTTTAATTTCTTGATCTCTTTCATACAATAAATATGTAAAGCTTAAATAAATTTTTTGCCTCACAATACTTATCACCCACCCCCTTACAATACTTATCACCATCAAAGCAAGTGTCATCACAAATGTCACTACCAAGCTACACTTAGCAGAAGTTAACACGTCCTGAGCAAAGTCAATGGGTACAAAATAAGCCTTCAAAAATATAATTAGGATTTGCCAACCCAGGTGTTAAAAAAAGCAGAAATTTCAGACTGTGGCTCATACACTGCATTTGATTCATTATTCTCTATTCCCAGTTTTAATGGTTTTTATCTAGTTCACACTTCTTCACATCATTTAGTTCCATAGTAACAAAAAATCCTTGGAAGGTGACATAGTTAAATTTTGAACACACACACACACACAATATATCGCAAGAGTAGCATAAAGGAAGCAATATGATTTTAGCTTATATCCATCCCCCACACCAAATAAACCAAACTAGTAACTCTCTCACTGTGATTTCCAGTCAAGAAACATTGCAAAGAATCTTATTAAAATGTAACTTGAATCTCTAATCTTTTGTAGAGCCAAACATTCTCCAGACGCTACCCTCTGGTTTTACTCTCCATAGGAGAAAGCAAATCGATAGAGATTGGTGGTCTTTTGTGAATCTGTTCTTCAACTGATGCATTCCTTTGAAAGTCTACTCTTTGGGGATGAGAAAGGGGGAGAATTTATTTTGAAAAAATAAATTATTCAAATGAATGTTGTGTGCAACAAGATGATAACTTTTTGAACCACAATAAATATGTGTCTGTGAGCATGTGTGTGTTCATATTTAATCTGCATGAAATTAACTAACTAGATATGTATTGGGAATAAGCAGATGAAATTAAACAAAAGAAACACATACTGTGCAAAAGTTATTCCACCCTGCCTCCTTTAAATCCTGGTATATAAACAACTGGTTACTGTGCTATCAGCTCTACCTCAGTGCAAGATCTGACTCTGTTATGAACTAATAATAACAACCACAGCTGCCAACGAGCACTACTTTATGCTAAATGCTCATAATTTCTTAACCTGTAGATCACAGTGTCTGACACTATTTCCAGTATATTTCAAAGTAAAAAAATTACTTTTTGGATTTAAAATTTCCCACAACTTTTATTCACACTCTTTTCTTAGATATTTTCAGTATAACAGAAAACTACAAAAAAAAATTTCAAGCTACAAAACACATAATATACTTGAAGTAGAACTTGCATCATCCTGATTTAGCTCACAATAAGTCATTTTCACTGGATTTGGCAAACAGTCCATTCTTCGGAAGCTTGAACGTTCAACACCAGTCTCAACAGCGACCTTCTAATACAAAGACTAAATTTTGCATCCAAAATTTGACAATGACTGATGAAGTTTATCTTTGAATTAGACTTGTCAAGTTTGAGGACTCCAGAACTCTTAAGATGTAACAATGTCCAAATAATCTTAAAAACGTTTAATTTATGTAGCCAGCTGCATTAACATTAGCTTTCTGTCACTGATTTTCCTTATTCTTATCAAAGTCTTGTTTGTAAGCTCCATGGTTTCATCCCACTTGTTTTTCTCGGGGCTTGTGTATGTCACCAAGTTCTCAGTATACTGCAAGATTGACTTCAAAAACCTACGAGAAAGAAAACCAAAGAAGAAAAACTCATTGAAGGATTTAAAAAGAAAAAATGAAAAAAAAAGAAAAAAAGAAAAATATCTCAGTGCCTGATTTAAAGCTTTTAATGTCTCCAAATTTCCAAATGTCCTTCAGGATGATCAATACATTAAAGTTTCTTCTACTTCTTGAAGAGAACTACTCCCTCATTCTCACAGTAAGAAGCGATGATTTTCAGAACTGCAGTTAAACACTGCCATAGAAAGAATGCAGTGATAAAATCTGTGATAGGACAGGAAGCCATTTGGGGAAAATTCTTTCTCAGTCAAATGTTTCACAAAGTCTATGATACCCAACCATCCAATTGACACAGAAGGAGTAAAATTACCAACATATTAAATACAGCTTTTATGTATTAATATTTTTTGAGTGTGTGATCGTTCTCTACCTATACTAAGGAAGTCTAATAAAAATTAAAAATGTGAATAACTGGACCATATATTTTCAACTAAGTTATTTTAGTTCTTGAGTCAACATTTTCTGAGATACAATGATAGAAAGATGACAATGTACTAAAAGTCATGCTGTTCCTTTTTTATTTTTTTCTCTACAGGATTTATATTACATATCAAAAAGGAATGTGTACAACTTCCTATTTTCATAAAGTAAATCTTATATACTCACTTCAGATACTGCTGATATTCAAGAGGATTCTTCTTAGAAACCAAATGAATATTGACTAGTTCCAGAGTAATCAACACTAAGATGAGCCGCAACACTGGAGACAAAAATTTAATGCTAAAAATAGGAAAAAATATTTTAAAATAAACACACTAAAACCAAATTAAATAGAAATCATTAATATAAAAAATTCTTCAGACTTCTGTATCCATCCTAAATAGCTGGATATTGCATAGTGGGTGGGTGGGTGGGGAGGAGATTACGAAATCTCCTTCAGCAAAGAGCAGAGCAAATATCAAAACTATAAACAAAGACTATATATTATGAAACCTCAAAAAGAGGACAAAAAAAGAAACATATATAGTTAAGATTCCAGCACCCATTACTCCATAGATAAGAAAGTGGAGTTCAACTGAATTGCAAATATGTATTGTCAGTTATCACTTTAAGCTATGTTTCTTAAATAATATGGTCGACGTTTTTAGGAACATAGCCTGGCCAAGAATACAATATTTACAGTTTTCCCAGTTTTTAAAGTAAATTCATAAATCCCTGGAAAACACTTTTAAATAGGAACAAAATTAATGGAATAGTAAACAACCTCTCTTCTATCTATAAAGATGATGGCCCAGGTATAATCATAAAAAGCAGCAGAACTAAAGTAGGCAGAGTCTTGAAATCACTTTAACCTATTGCATTCAGATAAAAATTGAATGACATTTATACGCTTAAATAGGAAAAGCTAGCAACTAAAAAATACAATCTAACATTTAAATTATACTTTTATTTGAAAGCTTATAATTTACAGTGAGGTAATCTAGCAATGCTAAAAATACCCATTAAATTATTCTCCAATTTGAGGTTTTCTCGTTATTTCAATATTACTACATAACAGAAATCTGGATTGACACTTAACTCTAAAATGGCTAACAGGAACACATAAACACTGTTGACTTTAAACTTCTAAGACAAACCACTGCAAGTTAGCAACATCAGCATGCAGCCACTCTCTCATAAACCTAACCGCAAAGTAAAGAAAAAACATCAGCCAACCTGTTCAACATTCGTCGATAGTTATGCCTCTGGCGAGAACGTAGAGTCTTGTTCATCCACTGTTTGTATCGCAACTCAGTGCTGGCAATAACTTTTTCAGACACTTGATGGCACTGTGTGCTTATTTTACGGAATACCACCACTGTTTCCAGAACAGGTCTCGGAGAATAAAGTGTGCAAATATGCGTATCACAAAGTTCAGTCAACAGCCTCCAAAACAGGAAGGAATTGTTAATTTCAATCTTTTGTTAGCTGGATTTAACATGAGATACATTTCATATTCGGTGTGGTTTGATTCATAGTGTTTTAACTCAGAAAGCCTGGAAACAGATTACTCTTACCTCATAATTGAAAAAAAGCAAGGATCTATGTAGTAGGGGTAGTGATTGTGTTCTCTATCACTTTACTGAATATAAATGCAAAACTGCTGGTGATGAATGTGTTTCCCATTTCAGATCAAAGAAATACAACCACAATAAACAAAACTGCCTGGCTGAAATGATACACTGAACACATCAAATCACAGCAGGGTTGTGGTTGAAGCCTCCCACCATAGTTCAATTCACAACGAATTAACATCCACCATAATAAAACTCACTCAAACAAATGGTATTAATTAGTACTCCCAATAGTGTGTGGTCTTTCTTCTGGGCAGAACAAGAAGCAGACTTAACATTTCGTAAAATGCAGGTGGTGAGGCCATTGTTTTAATCAACACCACACCAGATTATGCTTTGTTAAAGCACCCAAATGTCTTTCTGCTGTCATATTCTAATCTGCCAACCTAATGTGTCACACATCACTTTAAACACTCTGCTCTTATAGAAATGTTTCTTAATCTCCCTCATGTTCAAATTATCTCTGAGATAACAAAACTAAAAGTCATGAAGGGAGAAAACTCTAAAAATAGTTTAGCACTTTAGTAATCAGGCTTCTTTTTCATAAATGAGAAAGGTGCAGATTGGTGGGTAGGAAACAGAAGGCACGCATTCTAGACAAGCAAAGCAACAGGTAAAATCCTCTTTGTACTATCCTGCCCACGTCTAATGGCAGTTTGATTAGGAGAGTTTTGTTCCAATGTGTTCATTCAGTCATGGCACTATTAAGACTGATATAAGAGTGCCAATTAAAAGTCAAATTGTTTTGGTCATTACTCCAAGTCAGATATAATTGGAACTAACATACCTCCAAGTCTGACAACAAGTATAACAAGGTACCTTCTATTTCAGAATCTTGATTCTAAAGCATGTAAGAATAGAATTATGTAGCAGCATATTACTATTTTAAATGCCACGCACGGCTGTGACACCAAGCACATTAAAGCAAATTTCTGATGCAGTTTTAGCACACAAAGTGGATTAAACCCAACTTAATCTAGTCAATACATAAATATTTAAAACATTTTGCTTCCCCCCCCAAAAAATTTTTCATGCTAATTTCCAAGTAAAATCTCTACTGTAATAATGTCCCAAATCTATAACATCTCATCTTCATTTTGAAGATGATGTTCGGCTGCATTCTTAAGATTTTTTAATTAAGTCAGCAGCAATATTAGAAAAGTGCATGCAACATTTCAAGCATTGCTCTAAAAACAGGGAAATGAGTAGTTTAGGTTTGAGAGTTCTTGTGCTGGGCTGCATGTAGAAGCTGACAGCAGGAACCAGGAGGACATCAAACTCACCTCTCTGTTAGGACACTATCGATTCTATCACCTGAACTATAGAAATTCTGGGGCATATATTGCTGCAACTGAGATACAATTTCAGATATCATCAAAATCAAAGCACTAGCTTCAGCATTTCCTTCCAACCTTAAAAAAACAAAAGAAAAAATTAAGACTTGAGATGATAAAACTCTGTAGCACTTATCAGTTCTCAAATGGCATAGATCAAGATGCAGATTTTTTGGATAGCAGTGTATTCAATGTCCACTCTCACTCTCTGATATTATGGTTCTTCTCCCTCCACCTTATAAGTATGATTTTCTTTCTCCAACTAAAACCAACCTTTTCTCAGTCTCAACAGTCTTCTGAACCCCTCTTAATCCTCTGTTCAAAATCCTCTGTATCAAATTTCTGCAGCATATTGAGTATGTGCTAGATGCATTGAATTTTCACCTCTGAGCTGTAGACAAGTACAATTTCCTCCACCGATATTGTTAATGACTTCCTCCTTTTCAAATAACAAGAGAATGTTACATTCTTTTTCTAAGTAATATCTCATGTAAAGTCTTCCACTGATTTGGTTACCAAGCGCTTTTCAGAATAAGCAATTGTTTTCTGTTTTACATCAGGTGAGCCTTTTTTTTTGTTTTATTGTGATGGACTCAGGCTCTACTTTAAATTCCTAATAGCCCCTTCAGCAACTCATCAGAATATGGAGTCACTAACACCTCTGTATGTTTCAGATATCTTCTCATTCCCTTCAAGTTATAGCTGTTTATAGTTTTTACAGTATCTGTACTGATGTGTATGGCACAGATTAAGCTGAAAAGAACAAAGGGATCTTCTCACAACCCCTCTGGTGTCTATCATCTTCCTTGTAAAGTATTTGAAGAGACAGTTCACCATCTCAAATCCCATTCTTCATAACTATTTTGAGAACTATCTTTTCTTTAACAGCATATACGTACCCTTTAATCATTTGAACGTGCTCCTCAGGCACTGTTGGCAATTCAGGCCATAAGTGAATGCTCTTCATACATTCCAGCACCTCAAAAATGTATCATGAAAAATGTTATGTAAAGTGTAGCCTCTGACAGACAGGACAACATATTTTACTTTTCTTAGTGGCTATTTTAGAAAAACTGCAACAGGTAGTAAATTACTTGTCCAGCAGTAGTCATAATTGTGTAAGCTGACATAAATTGTTAAGGTTTATGTTAGGGCAAAAAGTCTTGATGTACACTTTCATGCTAAAACTTCATCTGAATAAACGAATTTGCTATTCTTTCTTCCTTTCTTTTAATATAAAAAATTAACTAATGTGACTTTTGCAACATACGGTTTGAATGCTGTCGAAAATGAAAAGTACTAAGTATGTCTACTGCAACCTTAAATCAATGGAGGAACATCTTCAAGCAGTTCAATAACTCATAAACTGATCAGCAGAGAACTACCACAACAAACACCTGAAAGCAGACTTTGCTACAGTGACAAAATCTTAATCAGCTGGCTTTCACACAATAAAAACCTTAGTTATAGCCTAATCCAAGATTCTTAGAGACGTGACCAAACAGAGTGTTCCTGACATAAGAAAGCACAAGGACATTAAGAAAACTACAAAACAGCAAACATCCAGGTAAGAATAAAACTATTCAGTGATCTAGAGCACAAACACAGCACCAATTGCATCAACAGGAGCGTGCTTAATTACACCTCATTTTAGCAACTGTAAATTCTGAAAGATAAAACTGAAAAGCTCATTAAAAAAAGGTAAGATTTTAACTTTTTAGGACAATCAAAGCATGAAGACAATGAGACCAATTTCAAGGATTCACAATTTTAAAGACCAAAATGCTTTCACAGTTGGAAGTACCTACCTGTTTCTTGAGTCGGGAAATTGGATGAAATTGAGAACGGTAGCAACTTGCACAGTTCATCAGTGGTTTTATGACCATGTGTTCCTGATTTACAAAATCATAGACAATACACAACAGTTTCTTTAAACTGTCCTAATCATATGCAGACCAAGACTTATCCTTAATTTTATGCAAGCCACCTATAGTACTGAAGTCAATAAAGACTTCCAAATGTCTGAGGGCTGAAAGCAGTAATCAGCACAATGAGTGTTTAAAGCTTAATTTCTTTGACACATTTTAACTATGAAACCTGACAGCAGCTGATAGAAAAGCAAGCAAGTATTCTCTCAGTGCAGCAGCATGCAATATATCTTGAGAAACTAAGAAGAGCTGCAACTAATAAATGGAAGATTTATTTCACAGGTTGCTGTATGATATTGAAAGTAGTAATCCCAAATATTAACAGGAAATTGGAGGGAGCAAATATAATAATTGCTAATGTTGAGAAACATGTATTGCTAGACAAAAAGTGTTCACAAATCCACAGTATAGAGTGTGGATACAAATCACACCTCCATTAGTGAGCCACCATTATTTATAGCATCTCAGAGAAAGAAAATCTCAAACATTACATACCTCCGTGGCTGAGCTACAGCTGTTCTACGTACCTTTCAGATAATTTAGCAGATAAACAGGCTAGGTATCAATACAATTTGAAAAATAAAATTAAGTGGAATCACTATAATTTATGGATCAACCATGTGAAGGAGTGGTTAAGCAAACAAATTAAGGTATGGTAAGAAAGCGTAATCTTTCGGAAAACTTTCTGTACTTATTTCATTACAAAACTAGAAAAAACAAACTTTCACAATTTTTTACTTGAAGGAATACTTCATTTCCACAAAAAGCTGCTGCAAACTAAGATTCTGTCACAAGACTCTCTAAAATCAGATTTGGCATCCAAAACAACTGAAAAAAAATCTTCTGAGACCATAATATTGATTACTACCTTAAAAGCAAACATGTCTTCATCTGAGAATCTGCAGAGAAGAGTAATTGCAAATGCCACTATCTGATTAGCTGCTTCTCTGGGAAATGCTTGTAGATTGATTTCTCCATGGCTTAAACGATCTCTTATACGTGGACCCTCCTGGTGGTTCAAGAAATCCCAAAGAAATTCCTGTGGAAACATGCACCAAGTGTATAGAATTCTGTTCTATGTGTATTCACATAGAATAGAATACATTCAGTGTAGAGAATACCTCTGAAAGATAAGTACGTCATTTCATCTATAGGAAAGGGGCATTTAGATCGTCAGAAAAAACAATGCAAACCATACTTGTAAAAAAAAAAAAAAAAGGCAACTCATCCATCTTGGTAGCTTCTGGGGAAATTCAAAACTAACATACATGCTATTTCTTGAGAGGTAACAACAGATTTCCTTCAGCTTTGCATCCCAAGTCCTCCACAGACCCACTGCCTCTGGGAGCAGGACAATAAACTCAGGTCTCCCCTACAGTCTCAAAAGGCCTCTCAATTCAGCACCCCTAGTTTTTATGTTCACTATCTGTTTGAGTGGCAAGATGCAGGATGTGCTCTGGTAGGTTTGCAGCTATGTTTTTGTGCCATCTGCCCAGGTAGTCTAAGATGTGTCCCAGAAGCAATCAGAAATAAGTTTTGATTTTCCCTGTATGAGGCATCAGTTTTTCTTCTGCTCCATTCAGCTATCTTCAAAGTCTAAAGACAAATATCTCTGAGACTTCTATATTTCAGAAAAAAAGACAGTCTTATATCCTAACCCAATATAGCTTGTCAGGTACTGCTTTGTATCCTTCACAATGAAAAAGGGTAACAAGCTTCTGGTTCTAAGCTGCTGAAGATAAGCTATGTGAAATAAATGGGTATTAGGCACGATTATAAATATATCACTAAATTTAAAAACAAAATAACAACGACAAAAGACCAAACAAAAAACCCACCAACAAACAAACCGCAAAACTTTCAAAACACTTGCCATGGCAGGTTCCTGAAGAACTGCAGGAAGCTGGTTGACTTCTTCATTATCCAAACGCTTTGCTAGCATCTAAAAAAAAGTAATTTGAATAGAAACTTATTATTGAAAGCCAAGCAATCGAATAAAAAACAACTGAAGTAATTAGTTTCCCTAATTTTAAGCAATTACTTCCAGCACTTAAAAATCAAGGTGCCTAATTATTACTGACAGACAATTTGAGATAATTCAAAATTGTAAAATTGAGGATTTCTGCTTGCAATGTTTATTTGTATTGATTTTGAACAACTGAATCTAGGAAAAATGACAGAATGTTTGTTTCTGTAAGATGAAGAATTTCAAGATAAAAACACTTAGAAGAAATTAAAGTCTGTTGATTAAAATTTGTATTAATTTTGATATTTTCTGGGGGATTCCAAATTTAAAGTGTTTACTGTCCATCATCTTCTATTTGGAAAAAAATTAGAAATAACGTCTTATCCAACACAAGAAAGTGCTTTCTGGTCTCTAGTAATGGGAAATATGCATGTGCTTAAATTCTGACATTGATATATATTTAAAAAAAAACCCCAAACAAAACCAAAAAAACACAAGTACCTCATCAAAAGTGGTGTAGAGAGCAGAAGGCTGGAAAAAAAGACAATTAATATTTGATTTTCAAATGAAAACAACTAACTAGACATGTATACCAAACTTATATTTATTCATTTGCAAGAGATACCAGAGATGCATGAATAGCAAAAAAAACCCCACTTACAAATGAAAAAAGGGACTTTTGGATTTTGTGCCAAGTTTTTTAAAATAAATATAACACAATCTACTCCCCACCCTAAACTACTTCTGAACACTAAACTTCAAGTACTTTTTCAGACCTCTTTTATTGGCAGACATCTTTACAAAAAAACATGAAGCATTGATGAAACTCTACTGGAAATTTGTAAATAATGTTCCACAACTGATTGAAAATTTTGGGGGGGGAAGTCTGTAAATGTTCAGACACTATGCTTCTAGAATAACTATTTTGAAAATATTATTAGCACTATATCATAATTGACTTTAGACAGAAATTTTACCTCAGCTGTTAGCAATCGATTTGGACATTTATTAGTTGTAGTGAAGAGCAATCTAAGTCCAACTTCCAGCTGAGGAAGTAAGAGAATCACACAGTCAGCATACCTGCAAAAATAACAGAGTACCCAAAGGGGTTTTCCCTCCTTATAAATACAATCTAAATGGAAATTAGAGCCATCTCAGGGTCACACTCTTAGGCCAAACAACCCAGAGCAAAATTCCTCTGTAATGCACTTCATAAACAAACAATAAATGACTACCTGTGCCCAGCAGAAGCTGACCACTGAATTCAAACCAGCTCAGAGATGAGAATAACTTACAAAAAGGTGGAGCATGGGAGAGGAAAACAAAACAATGTACTTTTTTTTTCAACTTGAAATGTTAATATCTGAAGATTTATTTCCATTTGCTTTGTAAAACTCTCCTTTTTGGCTACATCTGCAATAGTATTTTTTAGGTTTCAAAATATAGTTTATAATGCTAGCTGGCACAAAATAAAGTAGTAGGTCCACAAAGAGTAGGTCTCTTTCTGAGAGACCACCATAACAATGCATAACTATATGTTGTTAAGCAACAGATTCAGCAAAAAGCTTTGGAACCTACAAATCCTGCTATTATTCTATAAATATAGAATATAAAAAATAAAAAATAAATTTTAAAAAAATTTGACTGTTACCTGCTTTGCTTGAAAGCTGTTAAAGCAGCCATCCAAAATGGTAACATTGTTTTTAATACAAAACTGGACAGTTTTACTAGCTCTTCGGCTACGGAAAGTGTTTCATGATTAAGATCTGCAAGTTAGCAAAACAACATTGATAAACTACATACAATCTATGGTTTGCTAATTCATTCTTAGTATTTAACTGAAAATATAAGATTATTTCAGCATTTGTAAAGGGAGACTTAAAAGTTACCCAATTTATTTTAACTATACAAGTACAATGGTAGTCATATTTAAGATCACAAATTGCATTTGTAAGATTGTATTTTTAGTGATAATATAAAATTACAGAGTAAAAAGTGTTAAAAAGTCATGGCTGCTTTTTACTGAGACTAAAAGACTACACAGCAACCGGACCCAGCTTCTGTTGAGTTCTTCTCCACCTACTTCAAATACTTTTAAAAAGTGTAATATATATTAATCATTTTAATTCAGTAAGAATCAGTACAGTACTATGAACATTTGAACATGAGCACATTGTTCCTACTTCATCAATTTTCTGTGCTGACATTTAGCATAAAAAATGAACACTTCATACTTCAGTGCTACCATAAAAAGAAACTCACACTTACGAATTCACATTATAAATATCTTATCCAAGAGAAAGCTTAAAACAGTAAGTGCAACTTGATTGCACTAGGTGTTTTTTCAAAGCAAATCAACAGCTATAGGATTTATGTTACATGATGCCTGGACTGTTATCAGCTTGATTTGGTTCCCAAAACCCCTGTCTTGGTTCTGTTAACAGATGTTCCACTGGCAATTTGATTACGTAGCACAAACTGACCATGACCACCATTGACACAAAGATTCCCCATATGCTGGTTTTGCTTTAAAAAGAGTAAGAATAAACCAAATAAGGTCTGTAGCCAGGGACATGAGAAGATTTTAATCTGACACTTCAGGTCCTTCCCTGAGAAAAGCATCAGTGTACTGAAGATGTGTCACCTGTTTCAACACTACCTTCCCTGTAAGATGCAGGGCACTCCTGCTGGGACCCTTGCAGCTGGAACCCACTGATTCTGCAAAGAATTAGATTTTGTGAAGGCAAAATAGATGACTGTTACATGAAAGGAACACTCATCATCAAAAACCTGGAACATACAGCCAAAGTCTTTTAGAAGCAGTAATGTTACACGTTTCAATGTGTTATAATTATTTTACAATGCAGTATTCTTTGATTCAATAATCAGTGGAACTGCCTACATATTAAAAAGTTGTCCTACAAGCACGATTGATTCATCTAATGACAGTGCATACAGGTATCTTAGTTAAGATTCAATCTTAGGACTGTGGAAAATGCATTATTTTCAACAGCACTTTTAGACAATGAAACAATAGCAAATATAATAAAAACTTGCTAATGACTAAATACTTGCCTGGAAATATGCCAAGCTCATCTAAGCTCATGAAGGTCACATAAGGTCGATGTACTAGAATGCATTTAGTTTGCATAAGATATGTCTGTAACAACTGACCCAATCCTGCAGTTAAAAAAAGCAGCATAGCACAGTATCTAGGGAGAATACCATAATATATTAGAAAAGCTTATACAACTAAATCTTTTGCAAAGAGTCAGCAATTGTGGGTTGGGGACAAAGGGGTTTTTTTGCTCTTTCAAAGAACATCCAAAACCAATACTCCCCATCTCTTTTGGGTAGGGGCACTTAATAATTACATTCACAAGCATGAAAAAATCAATGTAGAATTAGGAAAAAAGCATCTCTGTATTCCACATTGGCTGCTGTTGCTTATCATCCTACCCCATTCCTCTGCGTTTTGTTCCGAGTTATTCCTACTGCCCTGACGGACAAGGAACTGGGTTTCAAAAAAAAAGACCTTAAGCTTTCTTGCTTTTCCTGCTAGTAAAAAAAACCACTGGTCCTAAAACTGACCAGCTTTATAATGGCTAAAGTATTCTATGGAAATCCCTTTCCAAAAGCAGCAGCAGGGGAAAAATGTCAGGATACTACCAGAGGCCTTTGGACATTTTTTTTTCTTTTTTTTAAATTTTTTTCAATAAGAGCAGTAAGTTTTACTAACGGCTTTTCAAGCACTCTCAAATATGACTGGTAAGAAAATGAGATTCTTTTTGGTAACTTACTTTGCAGGAATTTCTTGTGGGGATGCAAACCCATGCCACAAAACATTACGAAGATTCAGACCATACGGAGATCCAATGAATACCCTCAGTACATTCATCTAATTAATAAACAAAGTGATTACTGCATGAAGAAATCTATTATTTATTACCTTGTATCTTTCCCTGACAGAAAATTTCACAAGTTATTGAGAAACTACAATGTCTACTGTCAAGTTGACTGGCCACAGCTTGTCACAGTAACAGCAACCCATTATTTGCAATTCCCTGTATTCTCTGAAAGAAAATCTTTCAGCTCACTTGTACATGCTATAGAATATAATGCGGGAATAATAAAACTCATTATTAAACATTCCAAACAGTTTCGACAGGCAAACAAATGAGATCAAGTTTAGCTTCTTACTTCTTTTAGTATAAATCCACCATAATTTAACACAAATTAACATAAAATACAGAATTTGCATTCAAAGCTGTATTCCCAGATCACTATCAAACAAAAAGGGAAACTTTGTTTTTATTTTTTAACTGTAAGAATTGAACTATTCCACATGCCACCAAAATTCAAGAAATAACCGTTGTAACACTACTAGACTGGCTAACAATACAAGCTTCTACAGTTCACATCCAATATTTTGTCCTAAGGAAGAGTTTACGTTTGTAAAACTGTACGAGAAAGACCACCTACTCCGTTTACACAAGAATGTCATCAGAATTTTGGTTTTATTATTTTTTTGCACATGGGGATGAATAAATTAATTTCCTCTATTTTGAAAAACTCTAGTGTGGTAAACATTATGAAGCATCTTACTACAGTGGTGGTGAAGGGGAACACAGCTCATCAGAAACAGCCAGTGCAGGATGTGTATTTTCAAGTTGAAAGATATTGACAGATATGTGAAGTTTTACGTATATAGGTTTTTTATGTAGAAAAGCAAATAAGAACTTATGAGCTTGCCTTTAAAAATATTTCCATTTACAATATTCATTATTTTTGCCATATATCCCCCCAGACTGCAACACATATAAAATGAAAGTTTTTCCAATATATTACAGAATTTGCAAAATCTCCTTCAGTCCAAGCAAAGGCTATGCTTGGAAACCTGCCATTTGGCAAGAAGAAAACAAGCTCATTATTTATTACTTATTTCAAAACTATGCACTTACTACAGCTTGTCCAAAGACAACTGCAAGCTGTTCAGAAGCAAGCAAGTCTCTTAGAAGGAAAGGGCAATCTTTCCCAATGAGTAAATATACCTATTAAAGAAAAGCAAAACAGGTAACATAAGTAATTCAGTATACTTCTTTGCATTTCAAACATACAACTTGACTATTTCACCCAGCAACCATTTTCATTATTGTAAAAACACTAATCAAACAAAACCCACCAAATCCTTAAAAAGGCTTTAAATTCTGTAATTTCATGACAAATTAAAATTTACAGAACATATCAGGAAAGACTGGATATCCTACTTAATGTTCCCATAGTTAGGCTTTTCACAGTGTCTGTACAAGTACTGCTGTTCTCCAGAAAAAAAACCCAAACAGTAAAGCACAAGGAGAACATGTAATTAAGGGAATAAACTCCACCCAGGACACCATACTTCATTCTTACCCTAGAAATCTATAGGGTCTGTCATTGTTCAAAGAAGGAGACTTGTGGTTTGTCTTCTAATTCCGGCTGTTCCTTAAACTAGATTTTATCCTAGTTGGGCAATCTCAGCATCTCTAGTCTCAACTGCTATGAAGCCTTCCATTCTTTGTATTCTCCCTGACAGTTTTTTTCCAATGCTTGGTAATTTTTCATTACTTCAAAATTTACTTGGGCAAATTGGTTTGTCTAGGTGTGAAGTAGCCCACTGTTCTTTCTCTGGCATTTCCTTCTCCAAAGCTCCTCACGGAGATTTAACAACCAGCTATTTTATCTGATCTGTGGGCGATACACCCCAACAGCAAAGCCTCTTAAAACAGCTGTTGCTCCCTTCTCCCTAACTTGCATGCCCCTAAGTAGTGGTGGCATCTGTTTGTGTGGTCATGCAGTGAAGCAGACCAAGGAACTGATCCAGCTGAAAAACAAAAATGGGGGTAGAGGAAAAAGGTGGAAAGGTACCTGGACCAGTTCATCAATCTAGCTTGCTACTAGGCCTTCAAATATTTGCACTCACATAATGTATAGAATACCAGCAAACAAGGCAGATGGCTGTGAAGATTGACTGAACAAATTTAAGTAGTGCTATCACCAAATGTTGAACCACAGCCTAATTCACGTTCTATCAAAAAGGATTCACAATACAAGTTTCTTAATACCATTCAGAATTCCTAAGTCTAAGTCATGTCATGTATGCACTCCTTGCCTCATGCTGGTCATGGAACTCCTACAGTATTACTCTTTAAACTTAACAAGAGTGCAGTCCTTTACTAACTATTACAAGGTAAAGGAAAGCAGGAATGTGTTAACAAGACAAACATTCAGGACTACAAGATGGATCCCAGATCTATCCAGCTGAACAGTTAGGTCAAGAATTTAAGTTGTTAGCTGACTTCTAGATGTTTTTGCAGCACAAGACTCGTGTCGAAGCATTTAAACAGATGTACACTCTGCAAACAGAACTCTGAGAGAAGTTATCTAGCAGCCAGTTTCCAGCTGCACACTCCTGCCTTCCCTCACAGAAGTTACTACATCATCAGATCTTCTGCAGAAGGTATGCTGCTCCCTGTTTCAGTTAAATAAATCAGAGTAACAAAGACCTACCTTATGTACACTGATGAAGCAAACTTTGCTCTTTTTTAATGAAATTTAGTAACAGCACTCGCACAAGCAACTCTACCAGCACAAGTGAAGGAGTCCCCAAAGATGTTTCCATTACCAAATGCAGCTGGGCTATTTGTGTACTACCACAGTACAGGGTAATCTCACTTTTTCAATGTGCAGTTAAATCCAAGAGCTCGTTCCCATCTTATAAAACCAAACCTGCAATAGACTCCTCATGCTGGCACTTACATCACCCAAGGCTCGCTCCAAGCATGATGTTAGTTTCATTAAGCCAAGAGCAACTTCTGTAGTTTCAGTATCTTGTAGAACATCAAATACTTCAAGAAATAACTGTATGATGGGAGAGAGGAAGAGTGTTGTGTTAAATATTCAGAAGGAAAAAATCAAATTGTCAAAAGCACAGAGAAACCTAAATATGCCTCTGTGATAGTCGCTACGCAAATGGAGAAAGAAAACCATGCCAAGGAGATCAAAATGTAGATGCCTGGAAAGCAACTGCCCTAGAGCAACTCTTGTATTTTTAGTTGCAATGTATCTAGTGCCTTGCATCTATAAAAATTATCAACAATAACTTTACACAGTAAAACTTGATATTAAGGGCAGATTATCAGAAAAACAAAATCCTACCATCTTAGGTTAGAACAGGCCCAAAGCACCTCATGTTCTCTTTGTGATAACTTCTATAAAATCCAATCACAAAGGCAGGAAATTTAGAAGCAACTACATACCCGAGAAGGACAATCAGTTACAAATTCTAAGCATTTTGGTTCATCGATAACTCTTGTGTATTCCTACATTAAACTTCCACAAAGGCTTCATGTGTCAAAATACAAATTGTCAACAGACATTTCCATACCTCTGTGCAGTTCGTCCAGCGGAACCATAATGCATACTGAATTACAAATTGCTCCTTGGTCAGAGATTTCAAGTGCAAATTAACAGATTCACATACAGGTCCTAATGATCGTATGCTTTTGATATAATCCACACTTTGATCTTAAATTGAAAAACAGACGGTGGTTAGACTACCAAACTTCCCCAGAGGTCCAGTATTTTAAAACTCACAAGGATTAAAACCTGCTACAGCTTGTGTACCTATTTAGCACAGAGAATTTTATCCAGACTATTTTATCACGACTTGTACATTACAATTTACTGTCCAAAAGACCACACAGATAAGATACAGAAAAGTAAAAGTGCAGTGTAAGACCAGATAAGATCGAGTACCTTCTCAAAAAAAAAACCCCACAAAAACCCAAACCACCCAACACCTTAATGCAAGAAAATACGAAAGTAAAGAGGATTATTATGTTCTGGTTTTGTTGAAACGGGAAGAACCTACTACAGTACATAAATTCCACATAATCAAGCTGGAAGCTAGTGCAGGCTCAGGGGGATGAGTCAAGTTGCACCACTTACACCCTTTAAAGAACACAGATGGATGTGGTACCTTACAGAGTGGTATCACTGCTCGTCTTTGGTGGGACACTTTTATAGGAAAATATTCTTCTGATTTACTTCAAGATATTGTATCAGGCAGAAACCTCACCAAGTTGGCACCAAGTCAGGAGGGAGGGTTGATCTGCTCAAGGGTAGGAAGGCTCTACAGAGGGATCTGGACAGGCTGGATTGATGGGCCAAGGCCAACTGTATGAGGTTCAACAAGGCCAAGTGCCGGGTCCTGCACTTGGGTCACAACAACCCCATGCAGCGCTACAGGCTTGGGGAAGAGTGGCTGGAAAGCTGCTGGGCAGAGAAAGACCTGGGGGTGCTGGTTGACAGCTGGCTGAATGTGAGCCAGCAGTGTGCCCAGGTGGCCAAGAAGGCCAACGGCATCCTGGCTTGTATCAGAAATAGTGTAGCCAGCAGGAGCAGGGAAGTTTGTTCCCCTGTATTCAGCACTGGTGAGGCCACACCTCAAGTACCGTGTTCAGTTTTGGGACCCTCACTACAAGAAAGACATTGAGGTGCTGGAGCATGTCCAGAGAAGGGCAACGAAGCTGGTGAAGCGTCTAGAGCACAAGTCTTATGAGGAGCGGCTGAGGGAACTGGGATGGTTTAGTCTGGAGAAAAGGAGGCTGAGGGGAGACCTCATCGCTCTCTACAACTACCTGAAAGGAGGCTGTAGTGAGGTGGGTACTGGTCTCTTTTATCAAGTAACTAGTTATAGGACAAGAGGAAATGGCCTCAGGCTGCACCAGGGGAGGTTTCGATTGGATATTAGAAAAAACTTCTACTGAAAGGGTTGTCAGGCATTGGAACAGGCTGCCCAGGGAAGTGGTGGAGTCACCATCCCTGGAGGTGTTCGCAAAATGCATAGACGAAGCACTTTAGGACATGGTTTAGTGGGCATGGTGATGTTGGGTTGACAGTTGGACTCGATGATCTTAAAGGTCTTTTCCAACCTAAACGATTCCATGATTCTATGAAACATGTATCATTTTTACCCTCTCTGGAAATTAATAACAGAGCTTGCATGATGCAATTTGGCAAGTTAAAATTCAACAAGTTCATCAGGGCATAAATACTTTGTTTTGGTTGAAAAACAATCATGAACTGTTCTGCATACAGAAGGAAAACCAAACAGTATTTCTGTACAAGCCATACTTGGGGAAACAAAACCAGAAGCAACAGTAGGAATACTAATGGCCCCAGACTGTTTTAAATTTACTGCAAAAAGGATATAAAGAACACAGAAGAAAGCAGTTATGATGTAGGAGAGAAGCAGAACTGAACCCCCTCTTATGTACAGGCACATGAATCTAGGAACCAAGATGAACAAGGAAGCAAAGGAGCAGCTACTTATGGAGCACAGATTACCTGAATCTTAGGAACCAGCAATAACCAAATACCAAACGTGGATGAAAAATTTAAAGCTCCTTGTAGATATGAACTACATGTACTCTAGTCTGCAGCAAAGCTAATGCTGTGCTATAATAAAATGTTATAACTAAGCTGTAGCAGTCTTAAATGTATCATTACTACAACAGGTAAACACCAACCTGATTCAAGGTAACACACATGCTCTGTAACAGCTTGCCAACATACTTCATCATTTTCAGATAAAATATTATTAATATCATAGGTGTCCTTCTTCTCAAATCCAAGTTTGCAAATCACATAATGCACAGGTGGAGAAAGACAAGTAGTGACCGAGTCTGACAACGCCATCTAGAACACACACACACACAAATAAGTCCTTGCATTAAGAAATTACATGAGAACAAAGAAAATTATTATCAAAGCATACCCATAAGCACAGATATACAGATAGTAATACAGCACCTGTAAACAAGGTGTTAAGGTTTGCAATGCAACTTTCATCTACGTACGCGATGAAAGGAACTCTCTGAGCAGAACCACCTTGTGGAAAACTGAGGGGAAGGATTGCTCTATTTGCATAATGCCAGGATGGTATATTTCTGAATGGTTATATCTTCTGAACTGATACCAAGATAGATTGAAGCAAAAGATCCCAGTTTATATATAACTGTTCTGTCTGATCTCTGAGCTTGCAGGGAAACTGATGCTACTTCAAGTAAAACCAAGAGCTCCAGTCCTTAGGACCAGCAAAATCTTTGGGGGGCAGGGAGGAACACGTGTATTCTGTATGAACTGGTAGTAACGGTAGAACAATCTAAGCATAAATGTTATTTGCACATTAGCCTAAACAGAAAGATGGACTGATTCAGAAGCACACATTTAAATTAAAGAATTTGCAAAGATAGAACTGCTCATGCTAACAAGGAGGAAAAGCTTCTGATTTAGTAGAAAAAGTCACACTTCCTCATTAATCAAACAGAAAAAAGACAAGAAATCGTTTGAAAATGAAGTATCACAACAAATACAGAAATATTCCATTAAAGTTAAATTAAAAACTTTTTTTTCCCCTCTTTAATTAGGTGGTGGAATTGACCCTCACGGTACATGACTCCTGAATTCACGGCTTCAAGGAGAGACTGCGTATTTACATGGGTAACAGCACAGAGCAAGCATGGCAGTTCCTAGAAGGAACTGGTATTAGCTGCCAGCAGGAGTATCCTATCTGCTGTTAAAAAAAAAAATAATCTAGAATGTTCATAAAACATATAGTTCAGCCTCTTCCCCCCCGCGTTTCACTGTCAGAGACAGGAGGCCAGAACAAAACATGAACTACCAGGGTCACCCTTTATTGTCTAAACCAGACCGGACGAGGAGCAGGCAGCTGCCTTCTCCACACAGGGTACGTGACCAAGTCCCGGCTTTCCACCGGGCGACATCGCCGCGCCGCAGAGGCCGGGCTGCCCCCGCCCCCGCTGCGGCACCGGCAGCTCCCCCGGCAGCCGCTCCGGGGCGAGGAGGGCGGCAGCGCCCCCCGGCCCGAAGCCCCCGATCTCCCTCCCC